AAAAAAAAAAAAAAAAGTCCTCAAACATATCAATGACCCCACACTATTTCAAGAAGCTAATGGACAATGTATTCCACAGAAACTAGAGACAAAAGATTTGGGAGACAGGAAAAGAAGACATGAGAGACCCAACACAGGAGACGCACGGAGGGAATCCTCGGGACATCCGTGAGGAGGGATGGGGGACAGCTCTGGGCTGGACGCAGAGGACAACCAGCAGCACTTCAAGCGTCCAAAGGGCAGACCTTTTGAGGGCTGCCATCCAGATCTCTGCCTATCCCGTACCATCTGCATAAACTAAGGGTGAGCCTGCCTGAGGTACTTGGCTATACCTCGTCTGGCTAGCCCACGTACTGACGCACTTCCTGCTCTCCCCTTCATGCCTTTCTTCTGACATTCATTTCATCCCACCAACAATTTTCTGACTTGACCTAATTCTGAGAACTGGAAGAAGGCACTGAAGACTTAGAAGCTGAAAATACAAAGTAGCCCACTGCATCTGACCATATTCCTATGGGATGTCCACACAACAACTCTGTCAGACTCCCTGACTTAGGTCAGCCCTGACCTCCTAGAAGGACATCTTGACAACCTGAGGAAAGCTGAAGCCCGACCATGGCCCTGAGTCTGCTGTGTTTATCTTCTAGGGCAGTGCAACCAATAGTGGCAGAAGTGACTTTCCATTAACAGCTCGATTTATTCTTGCTGCTGTGTTGTACACATAGATGTGGTAATGTGAAAAGGGAAGCAAAGGAAATACTAACACCAAATTAGGGCAGGGACCACCATGGGGTAGGCTGGCGGCAAAGGGAACTGGGTGGAGGCACACAGCGGCCTTCCAGTTACTCGTGTTCACCCCTCCCCTTGGTGTTACAGACAGCGGGGTGCTCTGCTGCTTTTCCTACACTCTTCCTTCTTTACAATTTTAAATAATGTTTCAGCGCACACATTCATTCCTTCAAGTTGGGGATTATTTAACTATACAACTCACTATTAAATTAACAAAGGTTTCTACCGTATCAGTGGCAGTAATTCTCCTTTCATCGATCAGGAAGCAAACTAGTTTAAATTTCAGTTTAAACACATACAAAAATGAAGCCGGGAGTTACTTACATTATGAGTCTTCGGTTTAAGAACCAGTATTTCCTCCGACTTCGGTCATATCCAATAGGTTCGTGTCGAATATATGGTTTATTTTTTTGGATTTCAGCAACACAGTCAGTCACCCCAGGCACCTTATGTGCTACGCAGACTTCACACTGCCATTCATCCTCTGGTACCTCCTCAAGAGGTGGCTTCACACATTCCAAGTGGTACACTGCGGAACATGTCTCACAGCAAAGCAAATCCCCAAGTTTGTGACAAACCCTACAATGGTCATCATACTGGATCACCCCTTCAGACATCAGTTCCTCACGAGCAATATTTGTTGTGAGGAACTGATCGACCAAGAACTGCAGAACTTTGATCTTGTTCTCCACCGGCCCGTAAGGATAGTCCTCCGCTTCCTGGTAAGGAAGAACGTGATGGTACTCCTCGTCACTCTCGCAGTACACACGCAGCACCTCTGGCCACGTCATCCCGTCTATGAAATACAGTGTGGAATTAACGCTGTCTTTCAGATCAGCAGGTCCAAAGGTAGTATTGGAAGTGTCTTCTTCACGCAAGACTGCTTTCAAAAGCACAACGTGCATCTCCGCCATAAGCGTGCACTGCTCTTGACTTACCAGAGCTGCACAGAAGTCCTCAAAGCGAAAAGGAGACAATCTTAAGACAGTGCCAAAGTTCCGCAGTACCTCGTAAATGGCAATAACATTCATTATATGCTCATTAGGCACCATTAAATCCTCAGAGGACTTGGGGAATTCAAGGGGCGGGATGTCTTTTTCTTCTAATATTGGAGAACGGGGTCGATGTATTCTTGGTTTCCGCCTACCTGTAAAGAAGAGACGACACAATTACAAACCAGACACAATTACAAACCAGTAAGACACGACATCAGTTAATCACAAACCAGTGAGACGTGACATCAGCTATACAACTGAGGGTTCCCCAACTTTCTCTACTAGGACATACACCTCAAATAACAGAAAAACTGACTTCTACTTCTCTAATAATTGTCAGGTTAAAGTCATATCGAGTGCCAAAAAGCAATGATTTATCTTTCATTTTTAAGTCGACAGAAAATCTAAAGTCAAAGTTTTCCCATTTGCTTCCAAATCAGAGATAAAAATGTAAAACTGTAATCAGCTCTCAGTTATCTAGAGGAATTAGCTGGTTTACAGGTAACCATACTTTTTTTTTTTTTTTTTTAAGTGCATTTGTGAAAGATTTGAGAAGAATATGAATCAGAAAAAAAGACCAACACCTACGAGTGTATGAGTCTGGTTTCTCACTTTGCAAATGAAAAAGCAAGATTACAATGGAGTCTGATACGGCAGACAGCACTTTTTATAACGAGAAATGCAATCAATTATGATTTTAAGACAATCAGTTAGAACAGTTAATGTTAAAAATAGTAACAATCTGTTGGCAATACTGTACCTGTAAGGCAGGAACAGAAATAACGTCTAATGTAATTTAATGTCCTACTTAAAAGGATTAGCTTTCATGTATTCTGAAAGATTTCAGGTAATTCTTTTATTGTTCTAATTTTTAACTGTTCATTTAGCTTTATATTAAGGTAAAAGGAAGAAAGACCAAAAATGCCCACAAGTTCTACATATTATATATTGGCTAGCTGGAAATTACAAAATAGCTTCCATTCAAACTATGTGCAAGATTATATTCAACACTATGAGCCCTTTTGAAAATTAACATTAAATATACATCAGTTCACTCTGATACATTATTGGGCAAGTATAGATTGATTTGATTTTTTAGAAGGCAATCTGGCAAAAACCTATCCAGATGACTACCCCTTGCCCCAGCACTTCCACTTCCCAGAGTTCATCCTACAGGTACACTCGCATGCGCTTTAATAAGTACAAAATTACTTAATTCAGCAATAGTTTAAAAAGGTCAAGTTTGGGGGGGGGGGGCGTTCCCTTTCTTTTTTAACCTAATTGTACAATAATTTAAAATCATTAATATGTTGATTAGTTATGTTACATTTACACAGCAATGGAATCTAGCAGTTGAAAAAGAAAGTAAAATTGTATAAGCAGAAATGAAACAATCTTTAAGATACATTATTAAGTGGATGAAAAAGCCAGCTACAGAACAATAAACAGAGTGTCATCTGAGAAAAGAAACTTGAAAAAGAAAAAGAAGGTGATAATATGTATCTCTCTAAAAGGACACAGAAGAATCTTTTTTAAAAATAGTTGATTCTAGGGTAAGGAACTCCGGGATAGGAAACGACAGACTAATTTTTTGCCCTTTTGTACAAATACATGCAACTACTTATTATTATAATATTTTTAAAGAAAAAACTGGGAGGTAAAAACATTAAAATATTACTATTCAAATCAATAAAATGATGCTGCTATTAATAGTTACTGAGGTTTTGGATGGATATAAATACAAGGTTATTGTGCAAAACTCAAAGATTCCAGTTTACAGAGTTAAGCCCAGGTTACAGGGTAAAGCAGAAAACGCTTACAAAAATCAAAATGCTCCAGCCACCCCACTGTCAATCATTAGTACCAGCATGTCAAGGTGTTTCCACCATTCACAGAATCAGGTTTATAATATGCCATTGAGGATATTAATCTCATTACCATTCCCAACACTGATTAATATCTACCAGCTGAATTATATTAATTGTCCTGTATTTAAAAAAAAAAAAAAAGATTAAAAGTAGTCCTCAAAGTTTACCATGTATCAGAGTCACCTGGAGGGTTTGTTAAAACAAAGACTAATTAAAACACAGTCTCTGATTCACTTGGTCTAGGATCCCAAAACCCAAAACAAACCCATTGCCTTAAGTCAATTCTGACTCACAGTGATGCTATAGGACAGAGAAGAACTGCCACATAGCTCCCAAGGCTGTAAACCTTTATGGAAGCAGACTGGCACATCGTTCTCCCACAGAGCGGGTAGTGGGTTTGAACTGCCCACCTTTCCATTAACAGCCAAGCACTTAACCACTGTGCCACCAGGGCTCCTTAAGTCTAGGATAGAGTCTGAGACTTTGCATTTCTAACAAGTTCTCAGGTGAGGCCAATGATTCGGGTCTGAAACACACACTTTTGAGACCCTACTGCCAAGACCCCTGAGATTTAGAATTATAAAAATTAACACATGCTGGATGAAATTCACTAACCCCAGAAATTACTTTTAAACCTTGATACACAAAATGTGAAGGAGCCCTGATGGCTCAGTGGTTAAAGCACTCAGCTGCAAACTGAAAGGTCAGTGGTTTGAACCTACCAACCTCTCCACAGAACGATCTGGCAGCCTGCTTCCAGAAAGATTTACAGCCTTGGAAACTCTATGGGGGCAGTTCTACCCCGTCCTGTAGGGTGGCTATGAGTCAGAACTGACTCGACGGTAGTGGGTCCTGCTCTTCTGGTATTCAAGGTGTGCCTGGCATCCTCTAGAATCTGCATTTCCCCCAAATCTCCAGATGATCCTCATGCTCGTTAAAGTTTGCATAGCACTTCCCTGAACAGTCCTTCCTTAAACTGGAGGTGCACCATAATCACCTGGCAAGTTGGAAAAGGTCTCAATATGCAACTCAAATTTACAGTTCCTCAAGTGAAATTCTGTAATTTCATTCTTCCTCGATGACTCTGATGTGCAGCCAAGTTTGAAAACTACTGCTTTGATAAAACTGGATAATCTACAAGTGGACACACAGGCAGACAGGCAAGCTGAATGGGACTACACCCACAACCTTACACGGGCCTGGCAGAGGATACTTCTACATACATATTTGCATATGCTATAAATATATCAATGTATATAGTAAAACAAACAGAGGGTAAAGTTATGAAAACTTCTTAGCCATAGCCAAACACCTTGTGGGAATGAGTCACTTGGCTTGGGAGCTTAGGACCACAGTCTTGGGGACAGTGAAGTCAATTGGCATAACACAGTTCACAAAGAAAATGTTCAATACCCTCCTAGGGTAGCAACTAGGATCTTCTCAAATACATGTAAAGTGAGCAGCCATTTAAGATGTAACTATTGGTCTCTCTCTGTCTGGAGGAAGAAAGAGTCAAGAAAGTCAAAGACTCAAGGAAATAATTAATCCAAAGAACTAACAACCTCATGAACCACACAGCTTCCATTACCCTGAGAGCAAAACTGGATGCTTCCTGGCTACTAGTACCAACCACTCTGCCTGGGACCACAGGAGATCCTGCACAGAACGGAAGGAAAATGTAGAACAAAATTCAAAATCATAAAAAAAGACCAGACTTACTGGTCTGACAGAGACTGGTAGAACCCCCAAGACGGTGGTCCTTAGACACCCTTTGAACCTGAAATGGAACTCACTCCAGGGAATCACCCTGCATCCAAACAGAAAGTCCTATAAGGTGAGCAGTAACACTCCTGTTGAACATATTCCTCAGAATAATCAACCCAAAAGGATCAAAAGAACAGCATTTGCCCAAAAACGAAACTCAGAAGACAGGAAGGGTCAGGAAAGGACACAGGGGGAAGTGAGAAGAATGCTGTTACACTGAGGGAACTGTAACTAGTGTTACTAAACAAAATGTGTATAAGTTGTTGAATGGAAAACTTCACTGCAGAAAATGCTACTGAACTACCGAGCCCTGGTCTCGAAACACATCAAGGGACTGCTGCACAACAGCTGAAGTTTCAATTCTCAAGACAAGGCTACAACATATCTAATACTCTTTCTCTTTAAAACAGTAGTGAAATATTAAATATACTTTCAATGACTTTTCCAACAAATTAACAGTTTCATCAAAAGGGAAATAATAATGTATGGTCCACACAGATTTATGATCTGACAGAAGAGTTCTCAAAAATTACTGAAAATAACCCAAGCGTCCATCAGTAGGGAAATAAGCTCTGCGGCATTATTCAAGTAACAGAATACCTGTACTTAGAATAAATGAACCAGGTCTAGCAATGTGGACAAATAGTGTATTTTTAAAAGGTGACAAAAGCAAGCAGAATACACATCAAGAGCCCATTTACATAAATTTTAAAAACACAAAACAGATCATGCATAGAAACATATATAATACAATTAGAAAACCATGGATGGGAATTGCACACATCAATCTCAGGAAATATTACATCTGGAGTGGCAAGGAGGGCAAAGTAGAAACTTCAGAATGTTTGAAATATTTTATAATTAATTGTTTTAAGGAGTAAATTTCTGACATTTGAAAAATTTGATTTACATGAAATTACCACCAAATACGGTGATTCATGAAGCAGAACTAAATACGTCAGTGTCCATATATTCAAGAAAAAAATGTCAATACAACAGAAAAACAGGGTAAAAGGGAAATTCTGGCTTCAACAAAAGTTTAAGAACTTATGCAATCTCTTTTAGCCTTTGAAAAATAAAAAATTCTTTTCAAATGGAGCCCACTCCTGTGGCTTCCAGCCAAACAAAAGACAGGAATGTGAGCTGAACATTTACATTAGGTAGAGGGCTGTGTGTGCACAGAGAGACAGCTCAGAGGGGCAGAAGAGCATGGGAGGGAAGGACACAGGGAAGAGGTGGCTGTGGGGAGGAAGTGGGAGGAAAGCTGTCGCACTGTGGGAGATTACAGTCAATGTCATGAGACAAAGTGTATGTGAACTGCTGTATGGAAGATGAATTTGCTCTGTAAATATTCACCCAAATCATAATTAAAAAAAAAAACAAAAAACCTCCCATATACATCTCTTTAGTTTCTTCCCCCAAATAAAGTGTGGCTCTACAATAGTTCAGTAAATGGTTTTACCTATCAGTAAAGAATGTAATTCCTAAATATCTGGCACAAAAACTAACTACTATGACAT